TTTCATCATGAGTGTCTCTTCAGCCAGCAACACAGAAACCTCTTTTAACCATTTCCCCCATCATCAGTTTCCATCTTATGCTGCCCATACCGCTGTCCTCACCACAAATCTTGATGAAACAAATTACCCAATCTAGGTATCTCAAATTTTACTGCACCTTTGAGGTCATCAAGTTATCAGGTATGTTGACGGTTCCATCCCGTGTACTGCTCGCTCAATACCTGACATCTGGTTCAACCAAGACTCAATCCAAAATTCTTTGATTGGCAACGACAAGACCAACTCCCCTTGGGATGGCTTATTACTTCACTCTCTACTGATGTTCATGCCCAAAATTATTGGGCTCCCTATGTCCCACAATGTGTGGATAGCGCTTGAAACTTCATATGCAGCTCATTCTCGAGCTCACATCCTCTAATTACGTATGGAGTCATAGTCAATTGATGGGACATTCCTGAGAAGGGCCTAGGATTTGACACGTGTCCTCAGCACCGAGGACTTTCAAGAAGCCTGATGATGACACGTGTCACTGGCTCCAAAGGTATTTTTAACCTTCTAATGGTGACACATGTCCTCGGCATCAAGGGCCCCTTCATCCTCTTAGTTATGACACGTGTCCTCGGTACCGAGGATGCCTTCGGCTTACAGTGGTGACACATGTAATTGGCATCGAGGACACCCCTTATTCTCTGGAGATGACACATGTCCTCGGCATCGAGGACACCTTTAGATTCTTGTTCATGTGTCCCCCTGCGTGGCTCAGTCTCGAGGATTCTTTCTGACACGTCACCTTGGCTTCAGGATATATAAATGACTGTTACAACCCATCAATCTCAAAATCTGATAATGATTCATTGACTTGTCTTTCCCATGAAGTCAAAGTGGCAGAGTGAACGAGACCAGCAACCAAGGGGAGTCGGACATGTGGCATAATGTACATGATTAAGGGTAAATTGATAGAAATACCCCTGTTAACATGCAGTCATCCTAGAGAAGCATTTAATAAATCCCCATAGGGATGTGGTGTCTAGGGTGGCTTGAGAAGCCTAGGAGAAGGAACATTAAATGCTCCAAAGTCCGAACATTTAATGACTACGCATTGAAGAAAAGGTATTAAGTGCTTGGGAGGCGAGTATTTAATATTGGAACTTAGTCCCTGCAAAATTGAGGGTGCACTGCCAATGACTGAGCACCGCTTGCTACCTACTAGTCAATAATGATGACCTTCATAGAAGGTATAAATAGTTCTCTAAAACGCAAAGAAAAATACGCAAAATGACTTCTCACAACATACACTGTGCTTTTCCAATTCCCTCTTTCACAAACTGACTAGATCGTCGGAGGGGATGCGCTAAAAATACTCTAGCGCCCTTCTAACCCCAATTTTGAGTGTCAGGAAGTTTCAGCGACATGCCGGATCAATCAGACAGCCCTAAAAGCAATTCATCACCACTCTTTAGGTCCCTTTTTGCCTATCTTTGTCCCTAGATTGTCGAATTTTGAGGTAACACGAATTCACCAGGGGAGAGATCTACTTTTTTTTATTTATTGTGCAAAAATTATCGCACACAATTTGGCACCGTTTATGAAAAATTGACCAAAATTTTCAAAGAACAGTGACCATGGTGAATACTCGTCAAAAGGGAAAGGGTCCTCAACACAAGAATATGGATTTACCGATTTCCTCCACATTAAGAATGAAGGACCACACTGAAAGTGTCAACAGGAAACTTTGCGTTCATTCTAGGGAGAAAACCCGCCAAACTAGTCCAAGTATCGGGCCTGGAAAATCAGCCCCCTTGGCCCATCAGCTTGCTGAGGTGATCGAAGATTGGTTCGGGGATCGACATGACAGTTAGAAGAGGACAACGTGAAAGTCCTAAATCGACTCGATGAGTTTTCACTCTCCGGCGGAGGGTCTCGAGACTTGCGACAGTCGTGGGAGCCCTCCGTCAGGGAAGTGGGAGCTAGGGACTTGAGGAACCACCTCAGTGGCAAAACAAGAAGCTCCAGGGCTCCAAAGCGCTTGAGGGCCAAGGGACAGCTCCTAGAGGTTCCAGCCAAGAGGATAAGGTCATTGGCTTGGAAAGACCTCCATTAGAGACTGTCCGGGCGAGTGGGTATGGAGGAATTCGAGGGGTCAACCCTCTCCGTGCAGAACCCCGGGACTGGGGGGTACGCCAATCGACGTTGAGATGGAGAAGAAGTGCACCCCCAACAAAGGAAAGACCTCAAAGCACGCTTGGATTCTATGGTAAAGGATAGGGCCACATTAGAGGATGACAAATGACGATGTCATCCAATTACCCTTCATTAGGAGTATCGTGGAGGCAGAAATACCAAAGAAGTTTGTGGTGCCAAGGTTCAAAGTGTATGATGGACGTTCCGACCTGGAGGCTCACCTAAAACAATAAAAGCAAATGATGCCCTTGTACCCCACAGATCATCGGTTGCTCTACTAGGTGTTTTCCATGAGCCTAAGAGATATTTTCATGAAGTGGTTTGAAACCTTTCCACCTACGGCATAGGGTCTTAGAAGGAGCTAACCAAGCAATTCTCTGCATGATTCATTACGGAGAGTAAGCACCCCAAAGATGTTGGGTCACTACTGACCCTGAGATGAAGGGAAATTGAAACACTCCTCCAGTACGCCACACATTACTAGGAGGAAATAAATGAGGTGGAGGGGTATTCTGAGGTCATGGCGGCCACTTCCTTCAGACTTGGTCTTGCACTGGACACTGATCTCTATTGGTCCCTAACCAAGAAAACATCGATAGATATGGAAGAGTTGATGGCCCGAATCAACAAGTACTCCCGAATAGAGGATGAGATGGTGGGGAGCAAGGCGAAGTCTCAGGCCCCAAAGAAGAAGGAAAAGGAAAAAGAAGGGGCCCCTTCCCAGAAGAGACTAGTGCCTCTGTCAGAAAGTTCTTTCAAAGGGGTCCATACCGTGTTTAAGGAGCCCATTTACAAACCTTTACACAAGATTAAAAAGGAACATTTCTTCAAGTGGCCACCCAAGATGCAGGGTGATCCATCCACCAGGAACCAGAAAGTAAGATGTTCGTACCACCGAGATGTGGGACACCTCACCAAAGATTGTAGAGTCTACAAGTCTTTCTTGAAGAAATTGGTGCAAGAGGGGCACCTAAAGGAATACATCGAGGGAGGAGCACCAGTGGAAACCCATGGCACCAATAACCAAGTTACTACTCAAGACAACGTCATTGACGTCTGTCCTCTAGATCGACCAACTAGTAATACCCTCAGATCCGATCTCAAGATGGTGGCTTTTACAAGGAAGGTGGAAGAAAGGAATGGAGGCAGCCCCAGCAAGTAGCCCCGGGCATAGGAATAAGGTATCACTTTTTCCAGTGCCGACCTAGCAGGTGTAGTACTCCCCATGATGACGTCTTTGATCCTAACCTTAAAGATTGGTGATCTAGCAAATGGAGTCCTGAACTAGCTGCTGCTTGTGAGGTCTGGAAGGAGATCAAATTTGAATTTCAGGCAATGGATACTTTGTAATCCAGTAATTACCGTTCGTTCTCTTAATTGAATTGCAATTAAACTCGGCCCAATCTTTTACTAAAAGGATTGAGCCGAATACAAAGATCCTATGCATATATTTTGGATAGACACATAGTTATCTAGATGTAGAAGGTTTGAACTAAAAAATCTAAGACTAAACAACTTAAATATTTCTCTTGTTGTGTTGGATCCACAATTAATCCTATGGATCCTCAGGATTGGTATATTCTTTTATATCCTGTAGTTTCCCCGGATCGAGCCAAGTATCACAACTTTTTCTACCCATCCTGTATATTGTCCGTTTTGTTCCGTGTTTGAATAGAAACTTATTACTTATTATTAGTTAGTTATTAGACGAGATTTTACGAAAAAAAATGCTTCATTTCATAGGAGCGAACAAATCTTTTTTTTGCGATGCGAGGACATAAGAGAAAGCGTTCTTTATAATTGAAAGGGGGTTCCATCCTATTCATCTATAGTGAAGTGCTACTCCCGATTCCCACAAAATAAAATCATTTTTTTTTCAATACTCACACTCCGTATTAGTTAATAATCCTAGTGATTGGATTTATATGTTTATTCTGATAGGAAATAATCAAATCAATTAAATGATTTTTCATTGAATGACTATTCATCTATTGTATTTTCATGCAAATAGGGGGCAACAAAACTCTATGGAAAGATGTCGGTTCAATTCGATGTTGTTTAAGAAGGGGTTAGAACACAGGTGTGGGCTAAGTAAATCAATGGACAGTCTTGGGCCTATTGAAAATACCAGTGAAAGTGAAGAGCCAAATATAAATGATCCGGATAAAAACATTTATAGTTGGAATGATCGTGTCAATTCTAGTTCCAGTAATGTTGATCATTTATTCAGCATCAAGGACATTCGGAATTTGATCTCTGATGACACTTTTTTAGTTAGGGATAGTAATGGGGACAGCTATTCCATATATTTTGATATTGAAAATCAGATTTTTGAAATTAACAATGATCATTCTTTTCTGAGTGAACTAGATTTTCTGAGTGAACTAGAAAGTTCTTTGTATAGTTATCGGAATTCTAGTTATCTGAATAATGGATCTAAGAGTGACGATCCCTACTATGATCGTTACATGTATGATACTCAATATAGTTGGAATAATCACATTAATAGTTGCATTGATAGTTATCTTCAGTCTCAAATCTGTATTGATACTTACATTGTAAGTGGGAGTGACAATTACAGTGACAGTTACATTTATAGTTCTATTTGTGGTGAAAGTAGAAATAGTAGTGAAAACGAGGGTTCCAGTACTAGCACGAATGGTAGTGATTTAACTATAAGAGAAAGTTCTAATGATCTCGATGTAACTCAAAAATACAGGCATTTGTGGGTTCAATGCGAAAATTGTTATGGATTAAATTATAAAAAATTTTTTAAATCAAAAATGAATATTTGTGAACAATGTGGATATCATTTGAAAATGAGTAGTTCAGATAGAATCGAACTTTCGATTGATCCAGGTACTTGGGATCCTATGGATGAAGACATGGTCTCTCTGGATCCCATTGAATTTCATTCGGAGGAGGAGCCTTATAAGGATCGTATTGATTCTTATCAAAGAAAGACAGGATTAACTGAGGCTGTTCAAACAGGCATAGGTCAACTAAACGGTATTCCCGTAGCACTTGGGGTTATGGATTTTCAGTTTATGGGGGGTAGTATGGGATCCGTAGTCGGGGAGAAAATCACACGTTTGGTTGAGTACGCTACTAAGAAATTTCTACCTCTTATTATAGTGTGTGCTTCCGGGGGGGCACGCATGCAAGAAGGAAGTTTGAGCTTGATGCAAATGGCTAAAATCTCTTCTGCTTTATATGATTATCAATCAAATAAAAAGTTATTCTATGTATCAATCCTTACATCTCCTACTACTGGTGGGGTGACAGCGAGTTTTGGTATGTTGGGGGATATCATTATTGCTGAACCCAATGCCTACATTGCATTTGCAGGTAAAAGAGTAATTGAACAAACATTAAATAAAACAGTACCTGAAGGTTCACAAGCGGCTGAATATTTATTCCAGAAGGGCTTATTCGATCTAATCGTACCACGTAATCTTTTAAAAAGCGTTCTAAGTGAATTATTTCAGCTCCACGCTTTCTTTCCTTTGAATCAAAATTCAATCAAGTAGAACATTAAGTTCAATTATTTTATTTGTAGCAAACAAGTAGTTAGTTTATAGGAATCCAAGTAAAAATAAAAAGAATTGAGTTTTATTTGGTGACATAAGATCTACTTGTAGAAAGAAGTTTCGGATAACTCTTTTTTTTTTTACCTATATTGTTGATTACTAATCAACAACCCTCTATCAACAAAATAAAAGAGTGAATTTTTCTTTTCATGAAATTAGGCGAATAAAACGAATTTCCTATTCCCGTCTTACATATGTATATATAATGAAAATATAGAATAGAGTTTTACATCTTTCTATATCTTCCGAGAATCCCATTTTGACTAGAAATCCCGGTTGGATTGGATTCTAACGAATCTTTCGATAATTTGTAAGAAACTTTTTCTTTATTAAATTAGAAGACAAGAACAAAAGACGAAGAAAAGAAGAATAATATGAAAGTCGATTATCATACATATCTTTCATGTAGAAAAAACATGAATAGGTCCATTTATTTAGTTCGACATTCCTTGTGCTTAGTATATATACTAAGTTAGAGATATATTATATATACTCACTATATACTTATATATACTAATTTCATTTTGAATTCGATTTTCATTATCTATAGCATTATCTATAGATATTAATTCTCTACCATATCTACGAATTAATAAGAATTCCAATTCTTAATTATAATTATTATAAGATATCTTTATCATTTTAAATAATAAAAACAGGTAAAAATAAAATAGTAAATCGAGGTACCCATTCTATGATAACTCTCAACCTTCCCTCTATTTTTGTGCCTTTAATAGGCCTAGTATTTCCGGCAATTGCAATGGCTTCTTTATTTCTTCATGTTCAAAAAAACAAGATTGTGTAGATCCGATGGGATCCAATCTCATCCATTTTTTTTTTTTCAAACTTAGACTTGTATCATAACACAGATATCTATTTCGTGGAATATGATATAACATGTGGCTTCCACCGAACATAAAACCGAACATAAAAGAAAAGCTCTTATGCCTGCAGAAAATGCTATATGGGTAAATGACTTTTAGCTATTTTCAAATAGATCAGGATCGCCGGATGGCTGAAATGTAAAGTCAGCGTATCTAGATGTATGTCGATATCTATAGTAGGATCATATGAAAGGTCTGTTATTATTTTAGATTTTAGATCTAACCAATTTGATGAATGACTCCTAAAGGTTCACATCAAACTAGTGCTAGTTGATGAGAGTTACTTCGGAAACAAAAAGAGTAAAGTCAAATTCATTTGGGGTCTTTTCTCAATTTCAATAAAATACAACTGGATCAAGTATGAGTTGGCGATCAGAACATATATGGATAGAACCTATAATGGGGTCTCGAAAAGCAAGTAATTTCTGGTGGGCCATTATCCTTTTTTTAGGTTCATTAGGATTCTTATTGGTTGGAACTTCTAGTTATCTTGGTAGAAATTTGATATCTTTATTTCCGTCTCAGCAAATTCTTTTTTTTCCACAAGGGATCGTGATGTCTTTCTATGGGATCGCCGGTCTTTTTATTAGCTCCTATTTGTGGTGCACAATTTCGTGGAATGTAGGTAGTGGTTATGATCGCTTCGATAGAAAAGAAGGAATAGTGTGTATTTTTCGTTGGGGATTTCCTGGAAAAAATCGTCGCATCTTCCTCCGATTCCTTATAAAAGATATTCAGTCTGTCAGAATAGAAGTTAAAGAGGGTATTTATGCTCGTCGTGTCCTTTATATGGACATCAGAGGCCAGGGGGCCATCCCCTTGACTCGTACTGATGAGAATTTTACTCCACGAGAAATTGAGCAAAAAGCTGCTGAATTAGCATATTTCTTGCGTGTCCCAATTGAAGTATTTTGAGAAATGAAAATGAACTGAAGAATGAATGCTTTTTCAGCAGGAGGGAAAAACTCAAGAATCCTCTTTTTTCTATAACATAACTTAAACTTAACTGAACTTTCTTCAAAACGCTCATTCGAACCAAAGAGACATATACGGAACAACCATAAAACGAAACTCTTTTTGTGATCTTTTATACGTATCGAAATCCACACAACTCAATTCAATAAAATAAAAAAATACGTAACAAATCAAAATAATAGATTCATTTCATATATCAAACCATTTAGAAATAAAGAAATTTTTCTTTTTTTTGAAGTCCAATATGTGTTTGTTGGAATTGATACTTTAGATTCAGATAGATCATATCTTGTAAATTATTTCTTTTTTGTCAATCGACCTTTCTTTTTAGACTTTCTTTTATGCTCAACAATTGGCTCTCTTCTAACGATAACTAGCAAATTTCTGTCTTGTTTTGCCACTCATTTTTGATCATCATAATATTCTTCAGAAATTTCCCTCAATATTCTATTCCTGACTACTCATAGTAAGTGAAATTTTTGCGAAATATTGGATATTTTGATAGAATGATAGAAAAGGAGTTCTTTCGTATCAAAATCTGAATAATATTCATTACTTAAAAAAAAAAAATGGTTCTTTCGAGCATTCATTGAAAGGAGACAAGACACTTGCTTCGAATTTGACCAATTGAGATATCTGGAAACCCTATTTTTTTTATTTCTTCATTCCAATTTAAAGTGTATTCTTAGTCTATTTCTGTATTCTTTCTATATTCAAGGACTAACCACCAAATCACAAATAAAAAACATTGAATAGATTCATAGGTTCGATACCTTGTAATAGAACTCATGCGTGAGAGAAATATTAGATCGCATATAGTCGACGAATGAGGTGGGTTCATTAACAATTCACAGATGAAAAAATGGCAAAAAAGAAAGCATTCACTCCTCTTTTATATCTTGCATCTATAGTATGTTTGCCCTGGTGGATTTCTCTCTCATTTAATAAAAGTCTGGAATCTTGGGTCACTAATTGGTGGAATACTGGGCAATCCGAAACCTTTTTGAATGATATTCAAGAAAAGAGTATTCTAGAAAAATTCATAGAATTAGAGGAACTCCTCCTCTTGGACGAAATGATCAAGGAATACTCAGAGACCCATCTACAAAAACTTCGTATAGGAATCCATAAAGAAACGATCCAATTAATCAAGATACACAACGAAGATCGTATCCATACGATTTTGCACTTCTCGACAAATATAATCTGTTTCGTTATTTTAAGCGGTTATTCTATTTGGGGTAATGAAGAACTTGTTATTCTTAACTCTTGGGCCCAGGAATTCCTATATAACTTAAGCGACACACTAAAAGCTTTTTCTATTCTTTTATTAACCGATTTATGTATCGGATTCCATTCGCCCCATGGTTGGGAACTAATGATTGGATCTGTCTACAAAGATTTTGGGTTTGTTCATAATGATCAAATTATATCTGGTCTTGTTTCTACTTTTCCAGTCATTCTAGATACAATTTTAAAATATTGGATTTTCCGTGATTTAAATCGTGTATCTCCGTCGCTTGTAGTGATTTATCATTCAATGAATGACTGAAAAATGATCCACCAATATTAATCCAATTGTAATGTTTGTTACTTTGTAGTTGTACATAAGCAAAATATTGAAAATCGCACTTACTCTACTCATCCTGGAGATTCATCCTATATATTTTTCCAGTACATAGCAGAATCGTGGATAGGGAACTATACTAGCAACCTACCCAATTTATTGTAGAAATTTTTGAGATCAATGATTGGACCATGCAAGCTAGAAATAATTTTTCTTGGATAAAGGAACAGATTACTCGATCCATTTCCGTATCGCTCATGATATATATAATAACTCGGACATCCATTTCAAGTGCATATCCCATTTTTGCACAGCAAGGTTATGAAAATCCACGAGAAGCGACTGGGCGTATTGTATGTGCAAATTGTCATTTAGCTAATAAGCCCGTCGATATTGAGGTTCCACAAGCGGTACTTCCTGATACTGTATTTGAAGCAGTTGTTCGAATTCCTTATGATATGCAACTGAAACAAACTCTTGCTAATGGTAAAAAGGGGGCTTTGAATGTAGGGGCTGTTCTTATTTTACCGGAGGGGTTTGAATTAGCTCCTCCCGATCGTATTTCTCCCGAGATGAAAGAAAAGATAGGCAATCTATTTTTTCAGAGCTATCGCCCCAATAAAAAAAATATTCTTGTGATAGGCCCTGTTCCTGGTCAGAAATATAGTGAAATTATCTTTCCTATTCTTTCCCCGGACCCCGCTACTAAGAAAGATGTTCACTTCTTAAAATATCCTATATACGTAGGCGGAAACAGGGGAAGGGGGCAGATTTATCCTGACGGGAGCAAGAGTAACAATACA